AACGACTTTTGTACCAAATAATTTAATGGTTCACTTGTGATGAGAAATTAACCTCGAGACCTCAAATAAACTAGTACTGCATTGAAAATCAGTCTTTTTAGAGTGAAGGGAATTTCTTTACTGAGAATAACATCCCTGATCAAGCGTCTGCCACGCTCATTTCCTTAATTTAACATAATGTCACGCAAACATTTCGACAATGATTTAAAGCAATGATTTTGATACATTTCGCTGCCAGAATGCTTCCGCTGAGTAGACGACGCTTCTCCTTGTCGACCTTGTCTTATCTTTCCTCTTCGATATCTCAGTGCGAATGAAATGATGAATAAACAAACGAGCGCATGCCAATTTGTCGGCTGCGTTGATTTGCATAATTTTGACGCAACAAGTATGTGCTGATAAATGACGGCTCTCGTGCAGTTGCGATGGGTTTTGGAAGCCAGCGAGCACTATACGTAAACTCAAGGAATATTTGATTCAGCTGATCACAATTTGGAGCGGATCCGTCGATTATTCGGCAATTTATTGAGCTTCACGTGGAGATGGTCCGTTGGCCTTGTAACCAGCCTTCACTTTGTTTATAGTGGATGATACCTCTGATAGCAAAAAGCGGAGAAATGCCGTTTAAACTAGCCAGGACAAACAGGGAGACATTCAGCTAAAGGTATGAAGGCTATGTTGTACAATATTTTGATTTTTAAACACCATTTGGGCTTTTGATATAACACTGACTGATAACGGCTCCCATGCGGCCATGATCGGAATCGAACTAGCTGAGAAACGCAGCAAAATAGACCAGATACTGACCAGGAAAAAGAAATAGACAATGATATCAAGGCAAAACAATATATGTTTTGAACTATTACATAAATATTTTGACTCACTTGCAGTAAATTTAGCTTTTCACTTTACATACACTTCCGCACTGTTGTTTAAAAATTAATTCCACAAACAGTACGTCTGCGCCGCGGGTAGTTTCGAAAATGAAGACCGAAGCACGAAGCACCCAAATCTTGAAAACAAAGCACCCTAGATCGAAAACGAAGCACCCTATCTCGAAAACGAAGCACCCAAAACTCGAAAACGAAGCACCCAAAACTCGAAAACGAAGACCCCTAAATCTCGAAAACGAAGACCCCTAAATCTCGAAAACGAAGCACCCTAGATCGAAAACGAAACACCCAAAACCTTGAAACCGGTCTGTCCTTTATAAACACGAGACCAATGCTAATACAGCAGGAATCAAGCACGATAACGAATCGAATTCTCCTGTTCCCCACCATGGAGCCTGATCCCAGGCTGTTATCCTAGAACAAATTCTGCCTGGATCTGATGTGATCTGATCACGCAGTGTCATAGATATCCAATATGTTAGATTG